TTCATTTTAAATGTTTCGTATGAAACTATCGTTTGGCATCAGAAGACCTGAAATATAGCACACAAGACCAATTTCATTGTGCTTTTTCTAACAAACATGGTTAGTAAGAACTGTTGTTGTACTGAAAATGTCCAAGTGAAATTAATTTTCAAAAAAATTACATCACAATAAATAAATAACACAAGTTTGGAATGATGTGATTAAAATGATAAATGATAATATTAATCATTTTAATATATATATATATATATATATATATATACATACATACACATACACACACTATGAAAAGAGCATTTAAAAAATTTAGAACAACAAATAAAGACATGATCTTACAGTCCTTTTAACTCATAACATTTTTTTTTTTTTTTTACAATATTCTCCCTTTAAACAAATGTATTTCATGCATGTATTGGCTACATTTCACATTTAGGAAAAAAAGCCAAATAACCTAAAAATTTTTTTTTTTTTTTTACAATATTCTCCCTTTAAACAAATGTATTTCATGCATGTATTGGCTACATTTCACATTTAGGAAAAAAAGCCAAATAACAAGAAAAACAATGATTGAGAATTCATCAATTCTGGAAAACATCACTGCTGTACATACATTACGTTCAACATTCTTTCGCTTAGATGAGTGAGAGATCATAGAGCATGACCACCATATGCTATCAATTATCTGTGTGCAAAAAATGTGGGACACTGGCTAATCTGTGCAAAGTGTCGACACAAGTTTTAGACGTCTGTCAAAACCCAAACCGCTCTTCTCTCCCGCCTTCTGTTCATTCCGAGGCGGTGCTGACTTTCTCGGTCCCTTTAGCACAGCAGAGAAGTCAAACATTTACTTAACCCATCCTTACCAATTAGCTTCGCTTTTCTTATAGCCACAGACCTTGTAGCTGCTAACTTTGTCGCTAACATGCTAGTAACCTGCAGGTAACAGTTCTGCAGTTCCGTGTAAATTTTTAATATGATACAAATGGTCAAGAGATGTTTTTGTAGCAACAAGCATGCTAGTAACTCCCTAATAAAGCACAAACTGAACCGTGTAAATGTTTAACGTGGTACCAGCACAGAGTGTGAGTTTGGGGAAAGGGATTTACTGCTTCAAACCCCCCCCACCCCACCAAGGGTTCATGCTATATAGCTGTTTTAGCGCGAAGAAATGGACAAAGCAACTGTAAGACTTTTGGTACTTTGACATCACACGCTATGATTTCTTTATAGGCCGACATGCCAGGACAATTTACAGGAGTTCAGGCTGAGTATCTTTTTGGGCACACAGAGACGATAAATAAACCAACCTTTGGCCTCCAAGCGTGAATAGATGAACTCAGGGTGGAAGACACAGAATGAGAAAGATTCTCCTCATATGGCTTTGACTGCCATGTCAAGAGGTCAGCAGTAAGTCATCCAGGCGGGTGCCTGATGGGGCCGTAAAAGTGGCCTGGTTCCATCGGATGAGAGGGTTTACCGAGGTGAGCAGCCTTTCATATCGGCAACAGATTAACATCTTAGAAGGGTGTCCCCAGCATCCAATTTTGTAGATTCCCAAATAGCTTGTAACTCGTGCCTAAGAACCAGTTAAAAAAGCATCATAAACGAACGTCCAACACCATATTAAAGAGAAAGAAGAAAAGAGGGACTCCGAAGCAGCGGGCAGTCAAGTGAGGGGGGATGTAGGGATGGGGGCATGCAAAAGGATGGGGCACTGAACCAAAAGATTTAAGACCAGTGGAGCTTGTAAACAAATTTAAATCCATCCTAATTAAAGGCACATGAGAGCAAGGTCAAGGATCGAAGATGGTCTTGTCCCACCAATGCCAGAGTGTCCATTTCTGTAGTACACTGGGATGGCCCAATCCACTGTACCCCAGAGGTGGCAGGGCCACAGTCCGCTTTCAGCTGTCTGACTCCACTGCTGACCTTGGGGTCACCTCATTTCCTCATGCCCCTTGCCTACCCTGTCATAAAAGCCTTGGACCAAACGTCACAGCCTGGGAAGTGGAAGATAATGGGGAAGATTTGGCAGCAGAAGATGCCTCAGGACTTTCAAAAAGTGTCACCAGGCTTCCCTTGCTTACTGAAAGAAGTTCAGAATAGAAAAGAAGCGTAGGATAAGGTGAACCTTTTGTTTTTACATGAGTCCTCTTGTCAGAAGATCAGGAGTGAAACCTTTTTCAAACAGATTTGGAGATAGATATTTACTCTTGAGAAGAGTTGAGGGCTGATTCAGCTGGCCTTGGAGCCAAGCTCCTGGTTGTAAAGTCAACAAACAGAGGAACAGCGAAAAGCCCAAAGGCTTTGTTAAAAGATCCAGCTCTCAGAATCCCCCTCAAAGTAAACCCAGAAAGAAAATATATACTTACAGGTGATGATATCTCTGAGTTCATCAAAATCCTCCATCGACCTTCTGTACTCTTTTTATAGGACCAGAGCGCCATCCTGGATAGCCAGGTGAGGGTGAAGGTAAGGCCAACGTGGAGCTTCTACGGGTGAAATGAGCACCAGGGGTAAACAACCCTACCATCTCCACCTGACCCCAAACTCCCTGTAAAATGGTGAACTCTGAGCGCTCTGACAGGAAAGAAAATGAGAATAAGAAGCAGGAGAACACCTCCTCTTTGTATTTTTATAGACAGAAGAGAAGTGTTTCAGGTCCAGGCCGAGCGCTAGGGCCTCGTCCCCTTTCAGACCCTGTATGCAATGGGCCAGCACTGGGTCCAACAGGGGGGGGGGCTGTGCCCCGCTGGAAGACGGGCTTGATGGGTTGAGGCCTAATAATGATGGTGTTAAAAAAAGCCCTGTGGGAAGGGCGGGAGGTTACTGGGTTGATCAAAAGGCTTGAGTTTGATGGGTTTGCCTTTAAAGGGGCAGGCCAAACTTTTAAAAAGGTCTCTTAAATTTGCCTTGTTAAATAAAGGGTATTCCCCCAAAGAATGGAGCATGGAGTGGGAACTGCATTATTTCATTTATGACTATAATATCAACCCCATGATAAACAAGGTCCCATGAGCGAAAAACCATCCTGCAAATGCGGCATTTATAACTTTTGTATGACTTCCTTTTTCCTTTTTATAACTGAAACTGTGTGACTTTAGACGGTTGGCATTTGATATTGGTTATCTATGTTTCCAGTCTGGTACAATGATAACCAAATATTGTGTGATATAAGTAAGGAAAAAATACTGGAAAATTATTATAAATGTAATTGTACATTTTTGGCAATGTATTGGCTTCAATCACTCAGTCCACGAACAATGAGCTGTTTTTTTCAACTGTAAGAATGGTAGTAAAACAAATATCACTATGGCTGATCTCTTTATAAACTGAATTATTCACCAATGTTTTTGGTCATGGCATTTTTTTATTTCAATTATTCAGTCTTTAATTCTTAGTCATGTTAATATGTTTTCCATTTGCTGCCTCTGAACCAACAACACTTTCATCAAGAGCTGAAATGAAAGTAAAATTAGAAAAAGCGAAACACGCACGTGAGCAAGGTTTATTTTACACTCAATCAGCAGTGCGTAAGAGAATCCAGAAGGCAGCATTAAAAGGAAATCTATTTTTTACAGCCAGACAGTTAATTTTAATGAGCAGGATCATAAAGATGGCAGACGTCCATTGCAATGGCACATGAGGTTAAACCTCTCTAACCTAAATGCTCCAATATGGAAGAGGACCAATCGACCCTTTGTGACCACGCTACTCATGAATATCAATTAATTCTGTGCGACTACATTAATCGGACTGTACACAAGCAAAACACCATTGATACTTGAGTAGCAGGGTGAATATAAATGTAAAACCAATGAAATGCAATGCTTTTGGAAAACCACAGGGAAATTTCTCTCTTAAAACTGTCTTGATTCACTGCAGACATACATAGCTGCTTTCCTCTGTTCTTTTGGATTTTCAGGCTAATACCTCTGGGTCCGTGGCTGGAGGTGACCTATAAAGCTGAGCCTTTGGAGGGATGGAGATAAAGCAGAAGAGAAGATGAAGATGGGGCAAAGGGGAAGTGATAAAGTCATGGCGCTTGTGACACCGCATGCTTCTAGGTCTCGGTCTGGGTTAGGAAAGCTTGGGTTTCAGTGGCACCACAGGCCAGCTTGACCCACTGTGACTTGGGTAATGAAGCTGCCCAAGAGGGGGAGTGGGACAAGGAATGACGTCCTCAATATGACCTGTTTGACATCCCACAAAAGGCTTTTTGATTGGTGCCTCAGGTCTCCAAACTCTGGCTGACTTCTTGTGAAAACATTGTGTCTCACTTTGCTAAGACATTCCAAACACTTATAAGCAACAAAAATGACTAATCAGTGGGTTATCTGCACACTGCTTGGCCTAATGGTCTTATGGAAGCTTTACATAAATATGCAGGTTTCGTGTTCAACTGACCCCAATTGGACACCTTTCTTACCTTTATTGCATTCTGAAGCCTGTGATATACTTTCCGCATGAGCAATTCGGACGAGTACACAGACAGCGCGGATGCGGACTACTTGTATTTATACTACCGAAAGCATACACTGATGGTCCGATCTGCGGACGTGTTCCATACATGCGCAGTAGATCAGCGCAGTGGATTGTACAGGTTTGAGTAGCTACGGGCTTCTTCACACAGCCTGCGCATGCGCAGTTGGTGCTTTTGTAGCCTACTACATACACAAAAAATGGGAGGCACACAGATGTCCGCACAGAGCCTCTGCGCACACTTTCCGATGACGATTTTTACATCACGCATACCACACAGGCTTAAATCAGGTAGATGAGTTTAACAGAATGGAGCAGAATGGGTTTATAAAGCTGGACTATTTCTAACTTAACACACCTCTTAAAAATACAACGCATGTGACAGTATGCTGAAATGACTGTGGAAAAAAAGACAAAACAGCTATAGTGGCGGTGATCTAAAGTGGTTAAATTTAAAACTTAAAGCAGCATTTAATGTAACAGCATGCTAATTAGAGCACAACAACTTAAAATATGAACACTTTTTAAACACTTTACAATGAGGGTGAATTCATTAATATTAGTTAATATATTGGCATAAAAAATGACCATTTATTAAACTTTTTATTAATTATTATTACTATTATCTACCATTTATTAATCAAGTTTCCTGTTAAAGTCTCATTGTTTCTTTTCCCTTTTCCCATACAATCGAAGACATTGGTAAAAAAAATGTTTTTTGCATAATGTACTGTTTTAATATAAAAGAATTGTGTAGTGTTTTTAGGGTTGAAGTAAACATCATGGCAGAAAATGACTAGTATCTTCCTTTTTACCGATTTTTTTCTTAAAGCTTTCTTTTGTGTTCCAAAGATGAAAGAAAGTAATACAGGTTTAGATAACATGATAAAATAATGAAAGAAAATTCAATTACGAATAAACTATCCTTTTAATTTAAGCTACATCTGTAGAAAACAACTACTCAATGTTAATTAATGTTTTAACTAATTCATACAACTTGAAATTGCCTGAAAGTGTTTTTGTTTTTTTTTGGTCAAAGTTACATTAACTAATATTAATGCATATAAACCTTTTGTAAAATGTTGCAAACAAACAAACAAACAAATAAACAAATAAACAAATAAACAAACAAACAAATAAATAAATAATGTTGGTTTACTCTTTCTGATCATCCAAACAAACTTTTCGGAAACTAGAAATATCTGATTGAGAGACTCTGGATAATCCATCTCAGTCCAGTTTAGTTATGACTGCTTTGAAGTAAGGAAATGGCTGGCTGAGAATGGTGGAGACTCCTTAGACAGCAGGAGACTGGCAGCTATTACACAGACGGTCAGGACAGTGCAGAGCGTGGTCATCAATACTGCACTCTGCTTCTTCAGCAACAGAAACCGGACTCTCTGAATTACAACTCTACATTTTCAGCTCTCACCCCCTGCCTGGTATAGGAACACGGTCGCTGCAAAACCAAACTCTGAAGGAGTGGGTCACAGATGCTGTGAGGCGTCTGACAGACACAGGAGACAAATGAGTTTTCATCAGGCACTTTACTGCTTCTCTAAAACGGGTCATTTCAGCACACTTTTTTGCTTTATTTAGTATGTTTGTAACATAATGCATTTAGGTGTTTGTGACAACTCCTTCAAGCAGACCTGTTTAATACCAGGTCATAATGTGCGATGGCAGTCACATCAGCAGGAGGTCACACCACTGGTACCTGGTCACATTAGCTGTTCTTTTCTAGAATCTGGAGTCAAACATTTTCTGAAGAAAGTGTGAGGGGTGCTTATCTGTGCAAAGAAATTCTATGATATTTTGGGCTCGATATGAATCTGGTCCCTCCTTTAAAGGGATAGTTCACCCTAAAATGAAAGTTCTGTCATCATTTACTCACCCTCATGTTGTCTCAAACCTATGTCAATTTCTTTCTTCTGCAGAACACAAAATAAGATATTTTGAAGAATGTTTCAATATAATCAAAGCCAAAAGGATCCAAAACAACACTGAATGCCAGTTTCATTTAAAGAGTTTTCAAAATATCTTAATTTGTGTTCCACAGGAGAAAGAAAGCCATAAAGGTTTGTTTCGTTGGTTGAAACATGATATGCTAACAAAATGGAAATGTGTTTAATATAGACATATCTAAGCACCAGATGTGTTACAACAGGTCTACTCTCAAAATTATTATTATTACTAACAGTAGAACACCAATATTACCAACATACAGTAATATTCATGTCACACTATCACACTCCTATTCTTCCATTGTTCCATCCAGGAAAGTGAAAACATCCCTTACATATTTAAGCCCACAAATGAACAGCAAGCGAATTCGTAAAGGTATGTAAACTTTTCTCTGATGAAAATGCGTTTCATGCTCAGTGTGAGTAGTTTTGGTGCCAAGTTTCATTCTTTTTACATAAACACACACTTAATGTAATTTAGTCTCAGTGAACTTGAGAACACGATCAAGGAATGGACTTTAGCGGTTTGTATTATATGACGCCAGAACTTTTGATATAATTTCAGTCTTAAGTAATTACCTCAAACTAATTATTACTGTTACTACTATTATTACGTACACCTGATTTTCCATGATCTGTGTTAAGCTTA